ACACTCCTCATACCTCACCTGTACTCTGTTCCTGCACACTCACCTCTGCCATTTCTATGCGTCCGTCTGCATTCTTGTCGTACTTCTGCATGAATTCTTTCAGCTTCTCTCCGATGTTGATGGAGGATCCTTCCTGATAATGGGGGGAAAAGAACACGTGTCAGGTCTTCATAGGAGCGCATGCAGCAGGATGGGGGATGGGGGAAATGATTGCGCTCCCCAGGTGAGTCCAAACATTGCACTTCAATGAGGATTCTAACCTTCTCCATGTATGGAGAGGAGGAGCTGTCACCCCTAGTGATGTATGGAGAGGAGGAGCTGTCACCCCTAGTGATGTATGGAGAGGAGGAGTTGTCACCCCTAGTGATGTATGGAGAGGAGGAGTTGTCACCCCTAGTGATGTATGGAGAGGAGGAGCTGTCACCCCTAGTGATGTATGGAGAGGAGGAGATGATGCCCCTAGTGATGTATGGAGAGGAGGAGTTGTCACACCTAGTGATGTATGGAGAGGAGGAGCTGTCACCCCTAGTGATGTATGCAGAGGAGGAGATGATGCCCCTAGTGATGTATGGAGAGGAGGAGTTGTCACCCCCAGTGATGTATGGAGAGGAGGAGCTGTCACCCCCAGTGATATATGGAGAGGAGGAGTTGTCACCCCTAGTGATGTATGCAGAGGAGGAGATGATGCCCCTAGTGATGTATGGAGAGGAGTCCCCCAGTGATGTATGGAGAGGAGGAGTTGTCACCCCCAGCGATGTATGGAGAGGAGGAGTTGTCACCCCCAGTGATGTATGGAGAGGAGGAGTTGTCACCCCCAGTGATGTATGAAGAGGAGGAGTTGTCACCCCTAGTGATGTATGGAGAGGAGGAGTTGTCACCCCCAGTGATGTATGGAGAGGAGGAGTTGTCACCCCTAGTGATGTATGGAGAGGAGGAGTTGTCACCCCCAGTGATGTATGGAGAGGAGGAGTTGTCACCCCCAGAGGTAAATTCAACTTTTCTTATATACAGGATATTGATACGGGAAGATTTGTGGCAGTTATCAGAGTGACCAGCAGGTGGCAGCAGCCATCCATCTATAACACAGAGACCTTACTTCATCTGTGTACTAGTGCCGAGGTAATTAGCATGGAAGCCGGAGGATCAGCATGACAACCAGAATTATAGGGAGATCAGAAATTACACCTCCCGCACTTCCCATATCACCGCTCATCATTAACGAGGATCCGCCATCATCTCCCCGACTTCTGTACATCCCAACATTCCACAACATTCCCTCCGAAGCCAAACCATCTGCAGCGCTCCGTGTGACATCATCAATACAAATCTCTCCTCTTCCCCTCCCCACTCCTCATCCTCTCCCCTCTCCCTCTCCTCTCTCCATCCTCTCCCCTCTCCTACCCACTCCTCTCCTCTCACTTCTCATCACTCCTCTCCTCTCTCTCCATCCTCTCCCCACTTCTCATCACTCCTCCCCTCTCCCCATCCTCTCCTCTCACTTCTCATCACTCCTCTCCTCTCTCTCCATCCTCTCCTCTCCCCATCCTCTCCTCTCCCCATCCTCTCCTCTCACTTCTCATCACTCCTCCCCTCTCCCCATCCTCTCCTTTCCCCATCCTCTCACTTCTCATCACTCCTCCCCTCTCCCCATCCTCTCTTCTCCCCATCCTCTCCTCTCACTTCTCATCACTCCTCCCCTTTCCCCATCCTCTCCTCTCACTACTCATCACTCCTCTCCTCTCACTTCTCCCCTCCTTTCCTCTTCCCCTCCTCTCTTCCTAATCCTCTCCCCATCGTCTCCTCCTCTCCCCATCGTCTCCTCTCCTCTCTTCCCATCGTCTCCCCTCCTCTCTTCCCATCCTCTCCCCATCGTCTCCTCTCTTCTCTTTCCATCCTCTCTTCCCATCGTCTTCCCATCGTCTCCTCTCCTCTCTTCCCATCCTCTCCCCATCCTCTCCTCTCTTCCCATCCTCTCCCCATCGTCTCCTCTCTTCTCTTCCCATCCTCTCCGCATCGTCTCCTCTCTTCTCTTCCCATCCTCTCCTCTCTTCCCATCCTCTCCCCATCGTCTCCTCTCTTCTCTCCCCATCCTCTCCTCTCTTCCCATCCTCTCCCCATCGTCTCCTCTCTTCTCTTCCTCTCCTCTCCTCCCTGTGACTCCATGTTGCTCCTCTTCCTGTGACCGGCCGATTAATCGGATTCCTAGAAATATTTGTGGCTCCTCCTCCTCCCCATTCATTATTCGCCTCCCACCCCTCCCCCCGATCAGCAGGCAGAGAAGTTCTGAGCAGTGGTCATGTGACCGGTCCGGTTTAGGCAGAACTCCGACTCTCAGGACGGCTCTTACCATTCCCGCTCCTCGCCGCGCCGCCTCCAATTCCTGGAAGAAGTTCTCCAGCTCCTTCCCTTCGATGAAGCCATTTCCTGAGGAGAGAGAGAAGGGGTGCAGGTTATCCTGAGGCTTCATCACGTCCGGAGAGAAGCAAGCATGCGTCCACTGAAGTCTGAGCTGCCGGCCACCATACTTGAGCTTGTCACAATCTCCAGGTGTAATTGGTTTTATCTCGGCATACATTCACACCACGGCTGCTTACATGGGAAACAGCCATCAGATGGAGCAGAAGATGTACAGACAAGGAAATAGGGGACAGCAAAAAATATGACGTTCTGGTATCTTCTATAAGGAGGGTCATGTGACCTCAGTGGCTGTAAATACACACGGCCAGCACCTGACATCTGCCGTACAACGCTCCTGCACCTGGTGCTGCCATGGCTGCTCCCTCCAAGTGGGAACTCAGCACAGGGATGGTGGGAGCCCCTCATAATGGGCACAGCGGGTGTACAGACCCGGGAACTCAGCACAGGGTGGTACACGGAGAAGTCAGGTGTCCGGTATATGAGGGGGGGTTGCCTGTCTATTAGTTGGATTTCCTGTCACCTCCATTAGGTTCTTATTAACGGGCGAGTTTTGTGGGCGGAGTTCTGGTGATTTTGGGTGAAGTATGTTGTGGATTGTTATTCGTCAGAGTCGTAGTGCTTCCAGATGTCCAGGAATTGGGAGGCGGTGAGCTCGGCCAGGTGCAGGTACAGCGGCTGCTGCTTGTGTGCCATCATCATCCGCGAGTGCCAGCCGAGGCTCCGCAATCTCCTTATATACAGAGAGATTCCCGACTCCGCCCCCAGAGGGCAGCACTGAGCCAATCTCCATCCCTGGAGGACTGCTCAACCCCTTCACTGCCACACTCCATTCCTGGAGGACTGCTCAACCCCTTCACTGCCAGACTTCATCCCGGGGACCTCGACACTGCCAGACTCCATCCCGGGGACCCCGACACTGCCAGACTTCATCCCGGGGACCCCGTCACTGCCAGACTTCATCCCGGGGACCCCGACACTGCCAGACTCCATCCCGGGGACCCCGACACTGCCAGACTTCATCCCGGGGACCCCGTCACTGCCAGACTTCATCCCGGGGACCCCGACACTGCCAGACTCCATCCCGGGGACCCCGACACTGCCAGACTTCATCCCGGGGACCCCGTCACTGCCAGACTTCATCCCGGGGACCCCGACACTGCCAGACTCCATCCCGGGGACCCCGTCACTGCCAGACTTCATCCCGGGGACCCCGACACTGCCAGACTTCATCCCTGGGACCCCGTCACTGCTATACTTCATCCCGGGGACCCCGACACTGCCAGACTTCATCCCGGGGACCCCGTCACTGCCAGACTTCATCCCGGGGACCCCGTCACTGCCAGACTTCATCCCGGGGACCCCGACACTGCCAGACTTCATCCCTGGGACCCCGTCACTGCTATACTTCATCCCGGGGACCCCGACACTGCCAGACTTCATCCCGGGGACCCCGACACTGCCAGACTTCATCCCGGGGACCCCGACACTGCCAGACTTCATCCCGGGGACCCCGACACTGCTAGACTTCATCCCGGGGACCCCGACACTGCCAGACTTCATCCCTGGGACCCCGACACTGCCAGACTTCATCCCGGGGACCCCGTCACTGCCAGACTTCATCCCGGGGACCCCGTCACTGCCAGATTTCATCCTGGGGACCCCGACACTGCTAGACTTCATCCCGGGGACCCCGACACTGCCAGACTTCATCCCTGGGACCCCGTCACTGCCAGACTTCATCCCTGGGACCCCGACACTGCTAGACTTCATCCCGGGGACCCCGACACTGCCAGACTTCATCCCTGGGACCCCGTCACTGCTATACTTCATCCCGGGGACCCCGACACTGCCAGACTTCATCCCGGGGACCCCGTCACTGCCAGACTTCATCCCGGGGACCCCGCCACTGCCAGACTTCATCCCGGGGACCCCGACACTGCCAGACTTCATCCCTGGGACCCCGTCACTGCTATACTTCATCCCGGGGACCCCGACACTGCCAGACTTCATCCCGGGGACCCCGTCACTGCCAGACTTCATCCCGGGGACCCCGACACTGCTAGACTTCATCCCTGGGACCCCGTCACTGCTATACTTCATCCCGGGGACCCCGACACTGCCAGACTTCATCCCGGGGACCCCGTCACTGCCAGACTTCATCCCGGGGACCCCGACACTGCTAGACTTCATCCCTGGGACCCCGTCACTGCTATACTTCATCCCGGGGACCCCGACACTGCCAGACTTCATCCCGGGGACCCCGTCACTGCCAGACTTCATCCCGGGGACCCCGACACTGCTAGACTTCATCCCTGGGACCCCGTCACTGCTATACTTCATCCCGGGGACCCCGACACTGCCAGACTTCATCCCGGGGACCCCGTCACTGCCAGACTTCATCCCGGGGACCCCGACACTGCTAGACTTCATCCCTGGGACCCCGTCACTGCTATACTTCATCCCGGGGACCCCGACACTGCCAGACTTCATCCCGGGGACCCCGTCACTGCCAGACTTCATCCCGGGGACCCCGACACTGCTAGACTTCATCCCTGGGACCCCGTCACTGCTATACTTCATCCCGGGGACCCCGACACTGCCAGACTTCATCCCGGGGACCCCGTCACTGCCAGACTTCATCCCGGGGACCCCGACACTGCTAGACTTCATCCCTGGGACCCCGTCACTGCTATACTTCATCCCGGGGACCCCGACACTGCCAGACTTCATCCCGGGGACCCCGTCACTGCCAGACTTCATCCCGGGGACCCCGACACTGCTAGACTTCATCCCTGGGACCCCGTCACTGCTATACTTCATCCCGGGGACCCCGACACTGCCAGACTTCATCCCGGGGACCCCGTCACTGCCAGACTTCATCCCGGGGACCCCGACACTGCTAGACTTCATCCCTGGGACCCCGTCACTGCTATACTTCATCCCGGGGACCCCGACACTGCCAGACTTCATCCCGGGGACCCCGTCACTGCCAGACTTCATCCCGGGGACCCCGACACTGCTAGACTTCATCCCTGGGACCCCGTCACTGCTATACTTCATCCCGGGGACCCCGACACTGCCAGACTTCATCCCGGGGACCCCGTCACTGCCAGACTTCATCCCGGGGACCCCGACACTGCTAGACTTCATCCCTGGGACCCCGTCACTGCTATACTTCATCCCGGGGACCCCGACACTGCCAGACTTCATCCCGGGGACCCCGTCACTGCCAGACTTCATCCCGGGGACCCCGACACTGCCAGACTTCATCCCGGGGACCCCGACACTGCCAGACTTCATCCCGGGGACCCCGTCACTGCCAGACTTCATCCCGGGGACCCCGTCACTGCCAGACTTCATCCCGGGGACCCCGACACTGCTAGACTTCATCCCGGGGACCCCGACACTGCCAGACTTCATCCCTGGGACCCCGACACTGCCAGACTTCATCCCGGGGACCCCCCGACACTGCCAGACTCCCGAGCTCTCTGGGTTACCTGAGGGGACAGCAAGGCAGAGACGGTTACTCCGAGCCTCTCTTTGAATAGAACTTTGGACTGAACCGTCTGAGTTCTGTGAATCGGCTTCTTTTAAAGTGTACAAATGAGTTTGATGTCCCGATCATAAGAAATAAAGAACTTTATAAATGTTATATTGCCCCCCGGACACCGATCGCTGACCAGGATAGAGGTGACAGGTCCTCTTTATATAAGGAAGTGCCACTAAACATTATGTATCAGAGAAAGATCACTTCCTGTTACCAATATACCAATCGCTGAAAGCAGTTCCCTCCTTCCTTAGTGTCCGCTCACCCAAAGACCGGAGGTGATGAGGATTAAAGACATGGAACTTCACTAAGAGGAGCGGCCGGAGGCTGCAAGGGGCATCACCCAGGGGGGCATCACCCAGGGGGGCATCACCCAGGAGGGCATCAGCCACATCCAATACACCTACACTAGAGATGTGACATGCAGACTTCATCTATATCTTCACAGGAGACACCTGGACCTCACCTACATCTCATACGAGAGACCTGGACCTCACCTACATCTCACAGGAGACACCTGAACCTCACCTACATCTCACAGGAGACACCTGGACCTCACCTACATCTCATGCGAGACGCCTGGACCTCACCTACATCTCATGCGAGACGCCTGGACCTCACCTACATCTCATGCGAGACGCCTGGACCTCACCTACATCTCATGCGAGACGCCTGGACCTCACCTACATCTCATGCGAGACGCCTGGACCTCACCTACATCTCATGCGAGACGCCTGGACCTCACCTACATCTCATGCGAGACGCCTGGACCTCACCTACATCTCATGCGAGACGCCTGGACCTCACCTACATCTCATGCGAGACGCCTGGACCTCACCTACATCTCATGCGAGACGCCTGGACCTCACCTACATCTCATGCGAGACGCCTGGACCTCACCTACATCTCATGCGAGACGCCTGGACCTCACCTACATCTCATGCGAGACGCCTGGACCTCACCTACATCTCATGCGAGACGCCTGGACCTCACCTACATCTCATGCGAGACGCCTGGACCTCACCTACATCTCATGCGAGACGCCTGGACCTCACCTACATCTCATGCGAGACGCCTGGACCTCACCTACATCTCATGCGAGACGCCTGGACCTCACCTACATCTCATGCGAGACGCCTGGACCTCACCTACATCTCATGCGAGACGCCTGGACCTCACCTACATCTCATGCGAGACGCCTGGACCTCACCTACATCTCATGCGAGACGCCTGGACCTCACCTACATCTCATGCGAGACGCCTGGACCTCACCTACATCTCATGCGAGACGCCTGGACCTCACCTACATCTCATGCGAGACGCCTGGACCTCACCTACATCTCATGCGAGACGCCTGGACCTCACCTACATCTCATGCGAGACGCCTGGACCTCACCTACATCTCATGCGAGACGCCTGGACCTCACCTACATCTCATGCGAGACGCCTGGACCTCACCTACATCTCATGCGAGACGCCTGGACCTCACCTACATCTCATGCGAGACGCCTGGACCTCACCTACATCTCATGCGAGACGCCTGGACCTCACCTACATCTCATGCGAGACGCCTGGACCTCACCTACATCTCATGCGAGACGCCTGGACCTCACCTACATCTCATGCGAGACGCCTGGACCTCACCTACATCTCATGCGAGACGCCTGGACCTCACCTACATCTCATGCGAGACGCCTGGACCTCACCTACATCTCATGCGAGACGCCTGGACCTCACCTACATCTCATGCGAGACGCCTGGACCTCACCTACATCTCATGCGAGACGCCTGGACCTCACCTACATCTCATGCGAGACGCCTGGACCTCACCTACATCTCATGCGAGACGCCTGGACCTCACCTACATCTCATGCGAGACGCCTGGACCTCACCTACATCTCATGCGAGACGCCTGGACCTCACCTACATCTCATGCGAGACGCCTGGACCTCACCTACATCTCATGCGAGACGCCTGGACCTCACCTACATCTCATGCGAGACGCCTGGACCTCACCTACATCTCATGCGAGACGCCTGGACCTCACCTACATCTCATGCGAGACGCCTGGACCTCACCTACATCTCATGCGAGACGCCTGGACCTCACCTACATCTCATGCGAGACGCCTGGACCTCACCTACATCTCATGCGAGACGCCTGGACCTCACCTACATCTCATGCGAGACGCCTGGACCTCACCTACATCTCATGCGAGACGCCTGGACCTCACCTACATCTCATGCGAGACGCCTGGACCTCACCTACATCTCATGCGAGACGCCTGGACCTCACCTACATCTCATGCGAGACGCCTGGACCTCACCTACATCTCATGCGAGACGCCTGGACCTCACCTACATCTCATGCGAGACGCCTGGACCTCACCTACATCTCATGCGAGACGCCTGGACCTCACCTACATCTCATGCGAGACGCCTGGACCTCACCTACATCTCATGCGAGACGCCTGGACCTCACCTACATCTCATGCGAGACGCCTGGACCTCACCTACATCTCATGCGAGACGCCTGGACCTCACCTACATCTCATGCGAGACGCCTGGACCTCACCTACATCTCATGCGAGACGCCTGGACCTCACCTACATCTCATGCGAGACGCCTGGACCTCACCTACATCTCATGCGAGACGCCTGGACCTCACCTACATCTCATGCGAGACGCCTGGACCTCACCTACATCTCATGCGAGACGCCTGGACCTCACCTACATCTCATGCGAGACGCCTGGACCTCACCTACATCTCATGCGAGACGCCTGGACCTCACCTACATCTCATGCGAGACGCCTGGACCTCACCTACATCTCATGCGAGACGCCTGGACCTCACCTACATCTCATGCGAGACGCCTGGACCTCACCTACATCTCATGCGAGACGCCTGGACCTCACCTAAAGCTCATACGAGACGCCTGGACCTCCCCTACATCTCATACGAGACGCCTGGACCTCACCTACATCTCACAGGAGACACTGGACCTCACCTACATCTCACAGGAGACACCTGGAGCCAGTGAATTGGGGCCCCAGGTAAGGTTGCAGCTTTGGCCCCTCCATCAATTGACATTGATTGTAATTGGATGTGCCCAGAGGAGCCCCATCTGCATTGTCTGTAGTGTATGGTCCCATCACACACCGTCTGTCTAGTCTGTTCTTCCTTGTTCAGGGGCCGATTTACTGTAGGAGGATGAGGGTTGTAGCTGGGCCCCATGGACGTTCCTCGGGCCCTAGGCTCCTGCCTACATTGCCCTGTAGATAATCCGACTCTCCTTGGGACTAAGGTCTCTTGTCCCTGGATTGGCTGAGTTGTCACATGACCCATCAGACAGTCCTGGCGGTTCGCGGTGTAAGGAATCTGGGTGGAGCCACAAAGCAGTATATGAGACCACAGCGCTAATCAGAGGTCAGGGGTCACGCTGCCTGAATAGTGGTGTGAAAAGGGGGATATTAGCCAAGCCACCTGCCATGGTTGTATGGTGCCCTCTGCAGGGATACTCCTACAGCCGCTGATCACATGACTCTGTGCAACCTTCCTCTCATGCTTTTAGTGTTTGTAGGCGGAGCTTTGACACTTGGGCATTCAAGTACAACATGATGCTCCTCAGCTTCCTCTAGGATGAGGGACACCCCCCAGGCGGGACTGTACACTCCACCTCCCATCAGCCCCCGCTCCTCAGACATCTCAAATCTTATGGGACTCGGAGGAGGCGGCTGACAGCGAGCGAAAGGACGACGAAGATCCCGGAGTCGGTTTCGGCCACACTCCGACAGTCACGTGGTCCTTCCACTGGTCACGTAGCCGTGGAGACCGGCTGGTCATGTGACTGCAGAAAGAGGCGTGCGAGCCACGTGATTTGCCCGACACTTCCGGGTTAGCGAGAAACTTCTCTGCCGGGTACAAAGAGATACTGAGGGGGGAGAGTACACGGGTGTGGGGGTAAGGGGTGTATTTTACAGAGGGGCTACAGTGCATGGGGAGGGGGGCTGCTTGCAAGAGGGGGCAGTTCATGGATGGGAAGGACAGTATGTGTGGGGTGTTACATGGAGGATGGTACATAGATGGGGTAGTGGGCACAGTACGGGAAAGAAGGCACTGAATGAGGAGGGAAATGTATTTTGCGGTGGAGCACTGCGTGGGTTGGGTGGGGC